GAAAACAAGGTCAGACAACTTCTTATAACTTATAATTAACGCTATAAGTAATTTTTAATGCTAAGAATGCATTCCAAAATCATTGGACTTATACTGATTTGAAAGGCCCCATAATGGATGTGTTGCCAGTTGAGTTATATTCTATCTTCATGGCCTTAATTTCTTTAACTTGCCTAGAAATTAGCTAATAAGTTAGTGAAATTAATTTTATGAAAATGAATAGGTAACTTTATTATGTCCCGATCTTTATGTGAATAAAAATGAAACTATATTCGCTTAATTAAAATTGCTGCAGTGAAAATGTTTGAAGTAGCTAAAAATTATTTCTTACGATTTTCAGCTGAAAAAATTCTCGAGGACAGCCGGCGTCTTCAAGATCTAGCCGGTGCAGAAGAGATAGCTGAAAAGAAACGCAAGCAGGCCCTGATTGCTGAAATAAGAGCTACTGAGGCTGCTCTCTCAGTTGCCAAAGAGCTTTCGCAGAAGCAGGTGAGACTCATATTTGCATTGATTTTGCCATCGTCAAAGGCAATCTAGCATAGTTACGGTTGAATAGGGGTCTTTTCTTGTTTTTTTTATTTGGCATGAATTACTGAAGTTTCGATCTATGAATTTGAGTCTGATCCAAATCTTACAACGAGCATACCTCGGAAAAGTCACAATGCTCTACGTATTCGTTTTAACTAGAATGCAGGCAAAGAGAAAATGATATTTGCTTTACAGAGTGATTAAGTAATAATATTCAAGATCATTCAGGAAAAAATGATTTCGACACTTTTCTTATCCGAAAATGCATGGCTATTTGAATAATACTCTATGATCTGCGAAATATGATTTTTCACTAAACTTATGCGGTCGAACAATTAACAACATTTTGGTATTATAGCTAATTAATTTATTGTGCATTTAATCGTTATTTAAATGCTCAAAGCTACGAGAACACGTGTCTGGAAATATTCGCATACAGGTAAGTTTAGTTCATTTCTCATTCAACTTGATTATAACATTGACAGCTAGTAAAATCCTAGTCGTTCTAGGTAGCTTGATGTGAGTCTGGGGCTGATAGTTGAGTTTTTTCACAATAACTTGTGTAGTCCTGATGATGCAATTGCATTTCCCTTAGTCTTAACTCGCAAGTGACCATCTCATCGCGAATGGGTTGCAGTTGCAATCTCATCTTAGAGGGATTCGATACCTCTTCATTCGATAAAGTGGCTATGAGTTTCAGTGGATTACAGGGCAGACGTGGAACTCAAGATAATCCAGTCCTCTCTCAACTCAGATTTTTAATGGGATTGCCAATTAGTCAGACGCATTTCTGCCCCATTGTCGACAATGCTACTTATTCTTGATATGAGTAGTTCTTGAATAAGAGCTTAAGATGAAATAAGGACTGATATTTGATTTTGCCTTGAATGATGAGTAGTTGAGGTCGAAACTTTAGTCCACTCTGGATGAGATTGCCTTTTGGAAGGCAATGTTTACTGAAATTCAATGGCGTCCTATGGCCTATTTATCTAATTGTAGGAAAGCAAAACTACAAGTCTTTAAATCACTTTAAGTGGCATAGGGCGACTAAGATCTTATTGAGGAATTGCTAAGAGTAGTAAGGCTAGTATAAAGGGTTTCTCTTGACCCTATTGCATTAATTCATTACTCTGAATACTCATTTATAAAGCTTAAGATTCTTTTAGTAATAAAAGAGCAGGTAAGTATGGATAAAGCTCTATTTCACAGGATATCAGGTATCGAGTTAAGAGGAAAAAAATTAGCAAGGGCTAGATAAAAAACTTTGAGGACTATTTGCCTTAGACAATTTATTGTATCTTAAGAGTGCTTAAATCTTAATAGAGTCTAAATTTTATGCATGCATTTATATTGGAATCTTTTAAAAATATTTATTATTTTCAAATTATTGTTACATTATTGTTTTGTTATTGAGAGTGTGTATACAGAATGTGAATTAGTTCATCATTAAACTTGAAAAGAAGCAGCCATAGTTACACTAAATAATATGTTATTTTAAGTAGTTTGGAAAATCAGGTAGCACTAGTTGAAGGATACCTCAAAATGTTAGCTTTCACTAGTTATAGCATTACTTGAATATTAAGATTCAGTTCTGCGAAAATCCTGAAAAACGTCATGAAGTTCACCTTATCACTTGGACCAGATGATTCGCAGTATTTAAGTTTTTACCTTGTAGGCTAAAAGCAAAATGTTAATCATTTTCAAAGAGGAGGGTGAGAATAAGGGAGCATTAAAGTTAATTCTAGAATAACGGCTCTAAATTATGTCCATTCACTTCTCATTGCCTAAAAAGAGTTCTCCTGTGGTTCAATTAACAAGTGCCTGCAGTAAGTGATAAGTGTAAAATTTAGTTAACTATGAAATAGATCTAAATGGTGT